GTGACAGCTAGGAGACATCTGAGGAGAGACCTGCAGAACATCTCTGTTGCCAAACTGACTCAATGTATTTTAAATGAAAAGCATCACGTCTGTGCACAAACATGTCTGACTGGTAGGATAATATATAATGCATTTGATTCTGCCCTTTGAAGAGGTGATTACAGTTTAATTGGGATTATCTGATATGTGTAATGCCTCACCTAAGTAAACAACAATCTTCACAAAAGGAACATCCACCCTCTAATATTTTAACACTGTCCAATATCATAAGTCTGTGATGTATGATTTTATTCTTTTTTCAGAGAGAAAATGAGCCTGAAGCTGCCCTCAGTCAGAGGTGGTTAAATAGAAACACAACTAGACAACTTTTATTGTACATTGGGGTGTCTCTATGATTACGGCAACCATTGCATGACTGATGACAGCTTTCCTTCTGCTCTACTTAGGGTACAAGTTCTGCATTTTCTAGGTTAGATTTTTCCCAGAAACTTTAATTTGGTCAGAAAAGTTGCACGAAATCCTTAAACTGATTGTTTTTGGAACATTTCCTGTTATCAAACTCCACGGTAGTTGTTCTGAAATTACCTTAAACCTCATTAAGGTTTGGGCAATAATCCATGAGTACAAGAAAAATACATTACCAAACATCAGTGTGGGCACAGCTGTTTTTAAGTGTTTACGTATGTTTGCTTGGACATTTTCTCTGAGTTAATATTCACATCTCGTCAGAAGACCTGTTCAAGATTATTTCAAAGTTGGAAACGGACCCACATATCGCAAGGCATAAAAACAACTTAAAAGTTTTTTTTTAAGTGGTTGTGGCTTTAAAACCCAATTATTTTAATGGGTATCAAATCAACCATGTCAACATTTCTGCACCACATGTTTGCTCCTGTCAGTCAGATTCCTCTCGGCAGCACCTGGGAACATTTGAGTGTACTCTGTGATTTCTGCAGTGTAGATTCTGAGATAGTGAGGCAAAACAAGTTCAAATCTTCCAGCTGACACTGGGCTTTAGCAGGGGGGAGATTCCTTGTGTACTTGAGGAACAGGAAGGAAGGCAAGGCTGGGAAGAAGGTTACAGCAAATCTCTTCCAAGTCACTGATATGTTATCAATGCAGTGTCAGAACTCTGAATTTCTAAGTGGAAGAAAGGAAGACAAAGTTTCTTCCTGTCCCTTTACATTTCCACTGGCCCAATGAAGGGGGCTAGTAAAAGAAAAAACAATTGTCAAAATACTCTGCTGGCCCACAGGCCATGGAGATGTCACTCTTCTGCCTCTTTATTTCCGCTGTTTCTCTGCCTCACACATTTACCTCATCATACTCCCCCTCTCCCCGTTTTTGTCCGTCTCTTTCATTTTCACTATTGTCGTCCTGCTCTATCTCCAGCCCCTCCCTCCGTCCCTGCTTCTCTCTCTGTGGTGCAGTGCAGGCCCCCTCATTCTGCATGCCTTCAAGCTGTCTTTCTAATCTTCCTGAATTATTCAAGACACTTTCTCTTTTTCTTCTTCCCTTTTTTACCTAACACGTCAAGTAAACTACACAAAACAGGGTAACTGAGGGGGTAAAAATGACATTTACTGTTAATTTGCATTGAAGTAATTTATCGTCGGAGGGGACCCCTGACTGCAGCCCTTTCTAATCACACAGTAATTAGCCGAAACAATGTCACCTTTCTTACTGTGTGAGTTGAGTGGGATTTCTGTGGTGGGCATCGATCGTTCACGGGCCACGGTACACCCATAATTTTATCACAGTGAAACTACAGACATTTCCTTCTACCCCTGCCACAAACCCAGATTAACACCTCTAAACTGAGATTGAAACAGGTCTCTGTTGTTTCAGGGTGCTGCTGGCTATTGAGCTCATTGCATTAGAAGCTTTTCCTTTGTTGTGGAGAGTCAATAACCCAAATGGATCAAGGTGCACACTCAGGAGCACATGAGTGTCCTTTAAGATCCTGATGGAAGTAATCAGCAAAGTGCACTTCAAGAGAAACACGGAGACAGACCTCTGTGTTCAAACGTGCTTTTGTGATTTCACCTCTTTTCTCTTTCCAGACTTCTTTCCTTTTTTTTCTTTTTTTGTGGCTTTTTTTTGGGTGGAAAGGGAACATCAAGAATATTGGAGGAGTCAATACCTTACGTCAGTTCCGACCCCACACAATGCCACAGATTTTACTGCACAGAGAAAAACTTATGCGATAATGACATCCTTATGAGAGTCCAGTGACACCCGCGCTGCTGTGTGCAACGACAAACTCTCGGATTTCGGTGTGGTCACTGAAGTTTTCCCACTGAATACAGTCATCCGTCTATAACACACCTCCTCCCATTGTTCACTGCCCTTACAGAGAAGTGATCCCTTGTCTTTAAGATCTGACGATTGCTTTAGCTCATAGATACACACACATGCACACACACATGCACATTTCCATAACCTACGTAATCTCGAAAAATAAATAACAATATACTATAACAACTTGCTAACAACATGATAGATGAAGTAAGAGACAAGCTTTCATGGCTTCAGTGTGAAATGTATTATACGTGTGCTGATCATGTAATAAAGTGTCATGGATAACAACTAAAGGAAACAAGTTATTTGTTTTAAGTTAAGTTAAGTTTAAGAGTTGATTCTTAACTGTTTTTTATTTTTTTCCACACATGCATCACTGTAAATAATGTTAAAAGGTGTAAATTAATACCTCTAGTTTTCAATTTAATAATAAAGGTAACAATGAAATATTTGTGTATTTTCTGAATGCTGGTTTTAAAAATGCCACATATGTAAAAATTTTACTACAGGGCAAAAACATTGGTAGGGTCACCTATATTTAAAAAAAAGCATGCAGACTGGCATTGGTCACCTTAAAAAAAACCATATTTAAAGAGTTAAAAAACACCTTATGCCTCGGTTACATTAGGTCTCTGAAGAATCAGAATGTAGTTATTTCCACAAAACTGTGCCTGTTTTAGCAACCTTCACATCTGTGGGCGAGAATATGTCAGAGCT